TTTGGTCCCACCTTTGTTCCGAAAAAATGTCATTTGCTACCCCGAACGAGCTTTTTTCCGATTTCGTCAAACTCTAGACAACCATAATTTTGTGCTCCAAAATCCAAACGACATGAATTTTTTTTTTTCATTTCGCATGAAATTTTTAAGGACTACAACTTTTATCATAGACATAATTTTGAAATGTACGTGGATTGCTGAAAAGGGAAGGTAAGCTATTCCCAAAATCCTGTATATCCAAAAATAATTCATTTTCTGAAAATTCATTCCTAGTAAAAATTTTAGTCCTTAAAAAGTTATGCAAAATGTAAAAAAAGTTCATGATGTTCGGATTTTGGAGCACAAAGTTATGGTTGTTTAAAGTTATTGAGGATTTTTAGCTTTCAAGGAGTAAAACTTTGTCAATATATTATTGTTTCATGAGAAGAGTTGTAGTTGAGTGGTGTAAATGCTGTGCTAAATTTAGTAAACTATTTATTATCTTAGTTCGATCCACCACTCCCACAACATGTGGCTTTTTCTAATCTCTAAAAATAAAAGAAATTCAAATTGGGTAGGTGGGGATTCAAACCCAGGATTTCTTGCACACAATAAACAACTAAACCAGTTGTGCCAAGACCACTTTTAATATTTATTTTGGAAAAAAAATATATTACGAAACGCATGGTGGGGGTGCGGTTTGCAACCAAACCGCCCTGGCCTCATGCGGTTTGCAAAACCGCACCCTACCAGTGCGGTTTTCATAGAAAAACGCACCCCCGGGTTGCGGTTTTTGCCTAAACCGCTGGTTCAGGTGGCGGTTTTTGGGAAAGAGTTATTTTTGGAATTTTTTCGGTTGGGGTGCTATTTTTGGATTTTTTTAAACAGTGCTATTTCTGGAAAAATCCCGCCCTTTAATCGGTATAGAAATAGCTCGTGAGATTGAATGGCTGTGGCATAGATTTTCTCTTTTTGGGTAGAATGTGGGGTGCTAAAAGGGCACCCCTTCCTGGCACTAGATTAAACGGGTTTGGGCAATGCCCATAGTGTCATACAAAATCCAGAAAGCAAGACCCGGATCTGAAATATTAAAATCATGGAAACCTATACTAGTTGAGTGACCTTTATTAGCCAAGTAAATAGCTGGCTTGTTGCACTCCCTGAATGTGTGAGAGACTTTCACCTCCCAGTTTTGTTGAAGCATCTTCTGGAAACTCTGGACCAGAATAAAATACCTGTGATCTCCTCCCTCCTGGGAAGACAGAATCTGGATGGCAGCGTGGGAGTCAAGATGAAGGTGTACCAGTCGAAATCCCTTGTTCCAGCTACTTGAAGTCCATGTAAAGCTCCTCTAATTTCAGCCCTTGTTATTGTGCATTCGCCAAGATTGGAAGTGAAGGCAGCAAGGCATTGGCCGAGGTGATTGCGGATAAGGCCACCTGCCGCTGCTTCTGAGTTGGGCTGGCGGACCGATCCATCTGTGTGAACTGAAACCCAGCCTTGCTCTGGCGGCTTCCACGACAATTCCTCTCGAGTTTTGTGGTTCGCAGTAAAATGAATCGCCTTGCTCCTTCCTGAGCGTGCCTGATAGTTCTTGACCAGCACTGAATTCTTTCCGCCAGGATTGCATCCGACTGCTCCTTTTCAAAAATCCATTCGTTGCGACGTTTCCAAAGGTACCTAGCCGCGACTCTGAATAGCAAGCCTGATTATGCGTTTTGCAAATGCGTCATCATCCATTCTACAAAGCAGAGACCAACCGCTAAGTGTGTATCCATGATGCCCAAATGTTGCCATACCTTAGTTGCAAACTGGCATTTACGAATAACATGCTTAGTCGACTCTGAATCCTCTTTGCATATGTCGCAAGTGTCAGTAGCACAAAGCTTCCTTCGCTTCCTTTCGCAGTTTGTCAAAAGTCTGTCGTGCAGAGCGAGCCATAGGAAATGCTTAATCCTATTGGGCCCATTCCAGCGCCAAACTTTCTTCCAATCCGATGGTTCGTTATTTCCTTGTTCATCCTCTTTGCCTACAAGAAACCATTCTGCAGCAACCATGTAAGCCGAACGCAGCCGAAAACGACCATCCGCCTCCCTGCCCCAAGCTGTGATGTCCTTGCCCAGCTCCTCCTCGGGAGTGTCTGTTCCTGCCATGGGAGGAATCAAATTTTAAGGCACACGAGGTAGGATTCGTTGCCAATTCCACTCACCTGATTTTGTCGTCATATCGGCAACAGAGGCTGCCATGTACACGCCGTCCCCTGAGTTTGAATGTGGTCCACCAGACGCACACCATTGGGCAGCCATGAATCCAACCAAAACTGCACATTGCGTCCACTTCGTAGATCCCAAATTGCCTCCTGTTTCACCACCGACAGAGCATCCATGATACCTTTCCATAGCCATGAGGGATTGCTATGTTTCATGGACAATCCACCTTCCCTGTCATGCTTAAAATATTTCCCCTGTAATACCTTAACCCACAGTTCATCACCATTATTTAAAAAGGACCATCCCAACTTCAAAAGATAAGCAAAGTTCAGGCATCTAGGCAATTTCAAACCGAGCCCCCCCCCCCCCCCCCCCCCCATCTTCCTTAGGCTTGCATATCGTGTCCCAAGTCACGAGATGAGTTTTGCTCATGGCCGCTTCATTTCCCCACACGAATGCTCTGATCTTCTTATCTATAGTATCACAAACATAGCAAGGAAGAACAGCAGTTTGCATTACGTAGTTAGGAAGAGCGTTAAGAAAAGAAACCGCAAGAGTTACTCTGCCGGCCAATGAAAGGCTCCGAGCTTTCCACCCTGACAAACGTTTGTCAATTTTCTCCAACACAAACTTGTATGTCTCCTTGGTAACTCGTCCGTGGATAACCGGTACACCCAGGTATTTGCCCAGACTGTTGGTCTGTTTAATACCCATGGTTCGCGAGATTTGGTTCTTCAACGTTTCCTTGGTGTTCTTGGAGAAGAAGATGCAGGATTTGTACTTGCTCACTTGTTCTCTAGACGCCGCGCAGAAACGCTCCAAGCAATCTAATACAACCGCACCCTGCCTCATGTCCGCCTCTGCAAAAAGAACCAAATCATCGGCAAAGAAAAGGTGAGTGAGTGCAGGACCATTCTTGGATAGATAGACCGGTTTCCAAATGCCCTCTATCATCTTTTCCTTGATACAATGATTAAGAGTTCAATGCACAAAGTTAAAAGGTAGGGAGAAAGAGGACATCCCTGCCTAAGACCTCTCGAAGGTGAAAACTGCTCCGTGCATCCCCCGTTCCATAACACTTGGAAAGTAGTGGTGGTAATACACGCCATGATGAGAGAAAAAAATTATTGAGGGAGACCGGCAGCTTGCAGTGTTGATTGGAGGAATCCCCAGTCTATCCTGTCGTACGCCTTTGCCAGATCTATCGTCAAGACCATCAAGCCTTGTTTTCCTTTCTTGAGCAACATAGTGTGCACAACTTCCTGGAGGATAATGATGTTATCCGTAATATGACATTTTGGCACAAAGCTTGATTGCTCCACATCAACGAGCTGAGGCATGAGGTTCTTGAATCTATTGGCCAAACACTTCGCAATCACCTTATAAGTCACATTGCACAAGCTGATCGGCCAAAACTGTGATATCATCTTCGGCGGATCCACTTTAGGAATTAGAGAAATGATGGTATCATTACAGAATCTGATCCGCTGTGGGTCATTGAAGCAAGAGACAATATACTTATGAAAGTCAACTCCCAATGTATCCCAACATTTTTGGTAAAAGATGGCGTGGAAACCGTCTTTCCCTAGCGCCTTTAAGCCACCCATCTCTTTGATAATTGATAGCGTCGTATTTGCACATGTTTTCACCATTGTTTCTTAACCGTTTTGGCTCAAATTTGTGGTGTCTTGGCCTATTTTATGCTAGGTTGTGTTATTCTGTCATATTTCAGGTCCTAGCACGTAAAGTGAAGCATAGGCGCAAGTTTCAAGTCAAACGGAGATCATTTGGCAATTCGAGAGAAGAAACTCGAGCATGACATGAGGAAGAATGAATTTCTACCTCATATTATGGACAAATAATCATGGAATCTTGTCATGAAAATAAAGAGGACGAGACTACAAGCGTCTGGGATCAAACAGCGACTGATTCGGAGTCCGGTTGACGGAGAAACGAAACATTAAACAGGAGCGGAGGAAGAAATACGGGCAGGAGAAATACGACCGTATTTTCCCCTCCCATGCCCGTATTTTCATTGCCGAGAGGAGCCTTGGATGCGCTGAAACTTAACCAAAACGCGCGTTTTGGGCAAAATACGGGAAGGGAAGAATTACGACCGTAATTCAGCTCGTATTTCGCCCAGAATCGGGTTTTTGAGCCAGATTCGAGCCAAAGGAGAGGTAATCGAGTTTTTGAGCAAAAAACAGAGCTTTAGAGAGAGAAAGTGCGAAGAACAAACCCTAGGAGCTATTTGGAGTGGATTTCTCACCATTGAAGCCTAGATTGCATCCCTAGGAGTGAAAATTGACATCCCAAAGCAGATTCTTCCCATTGTTATGAGTATGACTGCTTTGTATTCTGTTTTCCTCTCTCTCTCTATGGAGTAGAAATTTCTCTCACTTGGGTATGAAGAACCCTAGTTCCATGTGTTAGGAATCTAGATTGTAATGACTTTGGATTGATATACTGCTTGATTATAATCGATTGAGGCATGTTTTATTGTGTCAATTAAAGCCTTTCTGGATTTTTGCTGCAACCTGAGATAGATAGAATCTGATTAGGTTGTTAGAGTTTCCTCAATCGGCAGTAGTGAATTGGTTATGCGAGAGTTAGTGGATTCACTGCTTTGTACTGGAATCCAATTCCAATAGTGGAGTTCTGTGTTAACTGCCTCAGCGTTCTATCCCGGTGAAGACTAGTCGTCTGCCGGGTAGTCTGTTTGAGAGGGCTTGGTCTGCTTAAGAGATTCCAAGCTACTGTCGGATCTTCCGCAGTTTAATCAACAGTAAATCGACCCAGGGTAAATACAAACTTGACCTAACTAAGGAGCTAGGGGGACTTATTCCCGAGTGACTCTTCCCTTGCTAAAGAACTTTGAACCATTTCCTGCTTTCTTACTGCTTTTAGTTAAAATCACAATCACTCGACTTAGTTTGCTAGATAATAGATAATCACGGAGTAGCTAGTATATCTAGACCCCGGGTTGACAAATAGAGCTTGCCACTTCTGCATTTCCGGACTGCGATTACACTTGGTCGCAGTTTGGTGTTGTGTTTTAGTGTGTTAAGTTTTTGGCGCCGTTGCCGAGGACCTCTAGGTTATTTTAGAAACGTGAAAGTCTGTTACTTTAGTATTTACTTTTATGCATCCTCTATTTTCCACCCTTGCTTTTCACTTAGGTATTTTGTTTTTGTTGATACAGATCTGATACATGGATCCTCATGGCTTCTCCAACCATTGGGGGTATCCACCACCACCCGAGTGGTATTACTCCGAGACTTCCTGGAGCAACCAAGGAGGAGAAGACTATGGAGTCTGGTTTCAGTACCAACCACCCTACTACGAAGAACAATCAAAAACTTGGGTATTTCAAGAACAATCTCATTATCAAGAAGAATTCCTCCCACAACTAGAAGGGCCATCAGATCTTGATTTAGCCACACCCCTCACGGGCCATCCGGCAGAGCCATGCTACACTCCACAGCCAGATCCAAACTATCACTTGAGGCTTCTCGTGGAGCAAATTGCTCGAGTACTTGAGAGATCCTTTTCCGAGATGGATCCTCATATCCAGGCCATTGCCCAAACTGACTTCTCCTTTCCCCGTGAAACAGAGGAGACCCTTTGGAGCATCAAGAAGCACATAGAGGTGATTGAGAAAGCTTATGCACAGTTTTCTCAAGATAGTCTTTACGCTACAATACAAGAAGAGAAGGAGGAAGAAGAAGTCAATCATAAGGATGTCGTGGAGCATACAGAAATTGTCATGAAGAGCTCCCGTGATGATCATGATCAGAAATGTCTTGTTGTAGCCGACCATACCTTTCCACATCCCACACCGAGCACTAAAGAGGCGGGCATGAGTGAGGAGATGCAAGCTGATATTATTGAAATGATTGAATGGCGACTTGCTCTCCAATCCGTGCTAGAAGAAGAAGAGCGAGAAAGGATGAGGAAAGAAGTTGTGGAGGATGACGGAAGTGAATTAGAGAAAGTTCTTGATCTTTTCCCAGGGGAGGAATCAAATTTGAGGAAGGAAGGGGGGTTGAAGAAGCGAGTGGTGTCCAGGCGGAGGATGAAGTTGAGGTGGAAGAGGCTTGCACCGACCATGAGTTACATGTGATATCTCCACCAAACTTCGAGGAGGTTCTTAGCAAGGACCCATTTGCAGTGTCTCTTTGCCAGACCAAGGCCACATCGACATCGGTCCCTCTTGGGGGACGCAATGGTGGTCTGTCAATGTTGTCATATCTGGTTTGGGGCAATGAGACGAGTGAGGAAGAAACGAAGAGGTCTCGCAGGTGGAGACTTCATATTCATCAAGTACACGAGCATACATAACCTGTCATACCACCTACTTGTGACTTGAGACTCCACATCATCGACAAGAACCTCAACTTCATGGAGGTTCTAGCATGGACCGAAACTTGGGAGCCACCGTCCGGCTCACGACGGTAAAGAAGCGCTTGTGGGCAGGCAACCCCACCAAGGTTTGTTTTCCTTTCGTTTGTTTTCGGTTTGTCCATTTGGAACTATGGTTTCTATCACCCAGTGTTTTTGATGACTCTAGTCTTGCTGACTGGTCCAATTTCCAGTCCCTCGACAGTCCGTATTTCTGGTAGCATCGTTTCCCCTTATCTTTCCCTATGCTCCATTGAGGGCAATGTCGTGCTTAAGTGTGTGTGTGTGTGTGGGAAGGGGGGGTGTTTATCTATTGTTGCCTGATAGATGAGTTTGTGTGCTTGGAGCCTAGTCCGCTGTCCAAATCTCGAGATTTGAGGGCTCCAAGTAATGCTGTTTGCTTGATCGTATTGGCACTGTGGGTTTAATTGGTGAATTGAATGGCTTTCGAATTAATGCATGACAACTGGAGTGTGACTAGGACAACCTATAATGATGACTGAGACGTGCAGTAGAGTTGTGTAGGTGTTCAGTTTTTCAACTGTTTGCTTACCAACTGTGACTTGGATTGATCACTTGTTCTTGAAAGTCGTTTATGCATCTAGTTCAGGGAATCGGAATGAGAGATAGAGCATATAGGTAGCCATGTGATATTTGAGCATGCTCGTTTCTTCCTTGTGCGATAGATCCCTCTTCCATGATGTTTAGCATTCACATTGTCATTAGCTAAGATGATGGAAGCATAGAATAGCCCACGACCAAATTGACTGTCCTGGTGTGTCATACCCCCTAGTCAGCCCCTTTGAGTCGTGTCACTTTCTTTCTTTCGGTTTATAATGGAAAATCACCCTTTTGCATCTCTTAGAAGGTTCCACAGAGTGGTTTTTGCATGTTCTCTGCTGTTTCTGCTAAATATAATGTGAGGGTTGGAGGTAATGCTTAAAAGTTAGGCATGTATTTGAAAAATGTGCAGAGGTGGTGGTTCTCTTAGGAAATGAAATGAAAAAAAGAAGAAAAAAAATGAATGAAAGCAAAAGAGAGTCACTTCCAAGAATTTGAATCATGCTCATTAAGTAGTGTTTCTTAGCAGTCTGGCTTAGAAATACTAACATTATTGTGACCTCTTTCGCTCTTGTGCTCTAAAGAATTCGAGTAATGCAGAATGGCAGAAAGAAAGTAAGTGGGTTGATTGGCTGTGAATGTATTAGGTTTGGAACTGTGGAACCTTGTGCTATGAATACTTCCACCACCTAAAATGCCTTTTCCCCATATCCAAGACCCTAGCCAGTCATTTGAACATGTGTCTAAGACCTCCGGATTAGTTAGTGATGACACCCATTTTTGTGAACTCTAACATTTAGAGGCTGCCGTCATGGTGAAGAGACGTTAGGGATTGAGAGAATAAGTATGCGCATTTTTCGCATCAAATTGTCCTGACCCCCACTGGTCGAGAGTGAGCGATTCATTTCCTTGTTCTTTACACTCTTTACCCCAGTGAGGACCAAGATGGCTCGGTCTTGATTCTGATGTCTTGAGTTTTATACATGAGCTGATTGTCTTGAATAAGTTGTTGAGTCAAGTCTAGGTTGGTTGGTGAACAGAAGGGAGACTCTTCCTTTACCCGATTTTGATGCACTCGAATGTCCTCTGTGGAGGTTGTCCAGGTTGCTGTTGAAGTTGTCCATGTGTTGATGTCTAAAAGCTAGTATGATTCCCGTGTTTCATGCCTATATGATATGTCCCCAAGGGTTACATCGTTAAAATGTTTTGAGCTTACCTTGTAACTGACTTGGTTTGCTTGGGGACAAGCAAACGGTTAAGTGTGGGGGAATTTGATAGCGTCGTATTGGCACATGTTTTCACCCTTGTTTCTTAACCGTTTTGGCTCCAATTTGTGGTGTCTTGGCCTATTTTATGCTAGGTTGTGTTATTTTATCATATTTCAGGTTCTAGCACGTAAAGTGAAGCATATGCGCAAGTTTCAAGTCAATCGGATATCATTTGGCGATTCGAGAGAAGAAACTCGAGCATGACCTGAGGAAGAATGAATTTCTACCTCATATTATGGAAATGAGCGAAGGAAGAAATACGGGCAGAAGAAATACGACCGTATTTTCCCCTCCCATGCCCGTATTTTCATTGCCGAGAGGAGCCTTGGATGCGTTGAAACTTAACCAAAACGCGCGTTTTGGGCAAAATACGGGCAGAGAAGAATTACGACCGTAATTCAGCCCGTATTTCGCCCAGAATTGGGTTTTTGAGGAAAATTCGAGCCAAAGGAGAGGGAATCAAGTTTTTGAGCAAAAAACAGAGCTTTAGAGAGAGAAAGTGTGAAGAACAAACCCTAGGAGCTATTTGGAGTGGATTTCTCACCATTGAAGCCCATATTGCATCCCCAGGAGTGAAGATTGACATCCCAAAGCAGATTCTTCCCATTGTTATGAGTATGACTGCTTTGTATTCCGTTTTCCTCTCTCTCTCTATGGAGTAGAATTTTCTCTCAGTTGGGTATGAAGAACCCTAGTTCCATGTGTTAGGAATCTTGATTGTAATGACTTTGGATTGATATACTACTTGATTATAATCGATTGAGGCATGTTTTTTTGTGTCAATTAAAGCCTGATCAACTTTTCTTGATTTTTGCTGCAACCTGAGAATGATAGAATCTGATTAGGTTGTTAGAGTTTCCTCAATCGGTAGTAGTGAATTGGTTATACGAGAGTTATTGGATTCACTGCTTTGTACTGGAATCCAATTCCAGTAGTGGAGTTCTGTATTAACTGCCTCAGCGTTCTATCCCGGTGAAGACTAGTCGTCTGCCGGGTAGTCTGTCTGAGAGGGCTTGGTCAGCTTAAGAGATTCCAAGCTACTGTCGGATCTCCGGCAGTTTAATCAACAGTAGATCAACCCAGGGTAATTAAAACCTTGAACTAACTAAGGAGCTAGGGGGACTCATTCCAGAGTGACTCTTCCCTATCTAAAGAACTTTGAACCATTTCCTGCTTTTAGTTAAAATCACAATCACTCGACTTAGATTGCTAGATAATAGATAATCACGGAGTAGGCAGTAGATCTAGACCCTGGGTTGACAAATAGAGCTTGCCACTTACTGCATTTCCGGACTGCGATTACACTTGGTCGCAGTTTGTGTTGTGTTTTAGTGTGTCAATAATCCCACGAGTTTCCTCAGAAGGAATCTGGGCTAGCCTGCGGATAGTCTTGGTGTTAAGAGGGCTAAACATGGTTGGAATTGAAGAGTGGTCAGCGTTGTCCGCCGTATACAGATTGATAGAGAAATCACAGGCCATTGTCTCTAGTATTTCAAAATCCTCAATCCAGTCACCATCCTCCCCCTGCAGCTTAGTAATTTTATTACGTCGTCCTCTAGCCAGAGCTGCAGTATGGAAGAATTTGGTATTCTTGTCACCATTGAGAATCCAATTCGTTCAGGATTTTTGCAACCACAAGAGCTCTTCTAGCCAAAGAGTTGCCTCCAATTCCTCTCGAACTTTGCTCTCTTCTTGCTGCAGGTAGCTGCTGTTCGTCCGCTTATTGGCTTCTTCTAGCTTAACAAGTTGTTTGGTCAATTGCATTTTCCTTCGAAAAATATTACCAAACACCTCCTTGTTCCACACCCGAAGTCTTGAAGAGAATAAATGAGATCACCACCTGTCTTTCATGATTCTTCCAGCATAGAAGAGAACTCCTGATGCACAAGCCAGGGTGCTAAAAACCTGAATGGCCTTTCCCCACGACTTGTGCGGCAAATCACTTTATTTCGGACGAGAGTAGGTCAGTGATCAGATCGCAGCCACGGAAGATGGGTACAAAGGGTTTCTGGGAAGCGATTTAGCCATTCCTGGTTACATAAAGCCCTGTCCAGCCATTGATATAGTCGACCATTAGTCCAAGTGAACTTTGGACCACTAAACTCCACATCAATGAATCCACAGTCCGCGATACAGTTGTTGAAATTAGTAACTCTGTGACTGTTGAATTTGGCTCCTCCGTAGCGTTCTGAAGGGCAAGTAATCTAGTTGAAGTCCCCAACAAGGAGCCAAGGCTTCGAAACAGTGGGCTCAATACCGCTGACTGATTATCCTGCAAATCAACAACAGAAAAGTGCAAGAATTGAGAGTCACAATCCAACACAGAAATGGCCAGATCATAGGAATTCTAAAGAACCCATATTCCTCCAGAAAAACCTATTGCATCGACCAATTCGTTCTTATCAAACCCCAAAGTCTGAATCACTTCCAACGCATCCTTGCCACTAATTCGTGGCTCCACGATGAACACTAGATTCGGCTTATGGGCAAACATATAATCTTTGAAAGTGGAATGAAATTTTGGGTGTTTAGCCCCCCGAAAATTCCAACTAAAAACACTAAACATAATAGCGAATAAACAATAAGAAAAGGGAAAGAAGGAGCGGGCCGCAATCCCGTTATTCGGAGGCTGGAATCGGAGCATTCGTAGCCGTTTGCTCCGCCAGAGTTTTAGCACCCCCTCCGCAATCAGAAATTGCTGTGTCATCTGCCCCAGAAGTCCCCATCTGTTGGAATTCATCTTCCTTGCTCTGCATATGAGAAATTATCCCCTCGATGTGTTGGGGAGAAGAAGAAAATGAGGTTTCTTTAATTCGCAGAGCCCCTTCACGTTTTGACTTCGAGACGCCTGAAGTAGATTTCTTCACTTTCCTCAGGTTGATTAGAGGGATGCTATCCGAATTTGTAGTTTGAGCGCCATGTTTACTCTTGCGATAATGGTGTTTGATGGTGGTTTTCCTGAATTGGAGTCTTTTTTATGATGAACCCCTTGATTTCCGCCGTCTTTCTTTGTTATCTTGCGAGATTTTCGCGTTACCTGCATCCATGGGCCATACCCAGCTTTTGGTTGGTGGTTTTCCTGAATTGGAGTCTTTTTTATGATGAACCCCTTGATTTTCGCCGTCTTTCTTTGTTGTCTTGCAAGATTTTCATGTTACCTGCATCCGCGGGCCATACCGAGCTTTCGACTCCGATGAAGATTCCGGCGCCGGAGTGATGTTTCTCGGTGACCCAGTAATGGTTAACGCTTGTAGCGCGACCTTCCTCGGAAAAGAATCCTCCGTATGGCCTATGCGGCCGCATTCGAAGCAAATATGTGGGGGATTTTCATACACCACTCCCTTCCAGAATCCGTCTAGTCGGATACGAGTAGCCAAAGGCTTTGTCATATCAAGCTCGACGGCGGTGCGAGCAAATTTTCCTCTTTGTAGGGTCTCCATATGGTAGTCGAGTTTAACAGTGCGGCCAATCAGATTTCCGAGTGCAAACAGCACTTCGCGATGGTAAAAGTGAACTGGAAGTTCCGGGAGCTCTACCCAAGCCACCACCGAGCGGTGCAGTTTATCTGACGTGCGAAACGAAGACGACCACTGATGGAAGACAAGATAGTGGTCAAGAATCGTCCAAGGACCTCTTGTCAA